ATCAAATGACCGAACATGTTGACCACTCTGGAATGTTCAAGAAACTAAATGTTACTAATAATACAAATACAACACATCACACAACAACCGTACCCCTGAAACTTTGTTTATGGGGGCATAAAAATTTAATTTGCTATAAATTTGGAATGGTTAGAGTATCAGCTTTCATGTTTCGTAAGTTTATTCCTTGTGACAAGACCTTCCCTTGGATACTTGTAGTAACCCCAAAAAACTTGACACTGTACCTTAAACATAGAGTTTGACTTTGAAAAACTTTAAACTTGGCAATAAGAATTACACTGTAAATGGTTTGTTGAGGGCTTTCTGTTTCACAAGTGATTTCCGTGTTACAAGAACGTTCTTCGAATACCATCAATTTTGACCTTCCATCTTGGAATTTGACTGACCTTTAAAAAAATTGATTTTGCTATAACATCTGAATACCTGGTGCTAGGGTTTTCAAATCATTTCACAGGTGTATTCCTTGCGACAAGTTAATTTTCTGAAGTACCAATATGTTTGATTTTGCCCTCAGAATTTGTCCTACTTAAAAAAACTTCAGCCTTGACTAACATTCCTAATTGATTGCTTCAAGGGTTTCTTATTTCACAGGTTTATTCCTGCTAATTAGATTTATTTTTTGGAACCAACACTTTTAATCCCTTGACTTTCGAGTTTGACTTGCATTATAGAAACTAAAACCTTCACCATGAGCCACAAAAACATATAATTTTAAGTTTCTGATAAAAATGTATAAAAAGCGTGAAGAGTGATTGATGTATAGAGCTACTGGTATTATTCTTTTACAGATCAGTGATAGAAATGAAATCCTACATTACTTTTATTCCAAGTTTGACAAATCCTACATTGCTGGCTTATGTAAAGAACTTGCTAAAGGTATTCAGTGGATTATATCTTATTCTAAATACCTAACTTCTTTCATATATCAGAAAATCATAGTAGATTTTAAACAGCGGTGAGTGCTATTCAGAGATATACAAATGGTGATATTCTTTGACATTCTAAGTTTATTCTTTGTGTTTGGACAATGCTGTCTGATAAATGTTATTAAAAGCATTCTTGAAAAAAAAAAAATAAACATACTTAAATGAGAATTTGAACTCCTGCCGTGAAATCAAAAGAAAATAAAATGATTTTAATTGCTCATATCTTCTTAGGTGCCAAAGAAAAGAAAGACAAGATATGTCTGGAACTTTTCAAACAAGCTGGGGAAATTTTAGCAGAACACATTCTTGGAGTTGGACCAAGAATTGCAGAGGTAACATCTAGGACTGTTGTTAAACAGAAAACTGTCTAATCCGACACCTGAATAATATGACACACTGTGAATTCTGACCTTGGATTTCTTTCCCATTTTACTATTTTCCATGTTTTTCACACTGCACAATCGGACACCCTGTCTATTCACACACAAAATTTGTCTCCCAGTGCATGTCTGATTAGACAGATTTCACTGATTGTGACCTCAACAGCAACTGAAAAATATTAATTATCAAGTCCCTGGAAATTTTTTATTTTTTTTTCTCCTCAGGAATTACTGAACACACCCAGTGGATTACAGGTTGTCACAGTAGGGTCTGTCTGGAAAAGCTGGGACCTCATGAAGGACGGTAAGTCTAATGTTCAAGAATTGTTTAGAATTGAAAGAAAAATTTAAGGAAATTACATTATTTAGACAAATTTTCTATCTTGTAAAATAAAAGGATTTCAGTTACAACACGGCAATTATTTTATGATGTATGAAAAATATACCCTGACTGTTCTAATTTTCTATCAGGCTTATTTTGTGAGAGCCCTGACAGACAGTTACTTTATTCTATTTATTTCTTTACGTTTTTACTTCGGTATTCTCCGTGTAACTTCGTATCTAAAGAAACTGGTTTTTCATGCACGAGCGATTTAGCGCTCACTATAAATACTTTTACCGGGGAATGTTCAATTAATGCGACGTTCGTTACAAAGAATCGCAGGTTGTAGTAAGTCTTTGGCATGTCAACAGAATCAAGTTCAACTTCTACAAGTAATAGAGATGTTCCTCGAGAACTACGTACAGAGACAAATTCTAATTCCGGCCAGGATTTTGATGTTATTGACGCCGTCAGTTTATTCAACAGCAGGTTAGACACCGCCCTTGAAAAGCAAAAAACTCTCATTCTTTCTGAAATACAAGATAAGCTTAAACCAACAAATAAATTTGAGTTCCGCGGAGAAGGAAACAAAATACAGTTTCAGTTTAATGAGGAGAGATTGCGAGGTTTAGAACTGTTATCTCAAAAACTCATCTCTGGCGATTTCAGCGGTGTCACAGATTTAATTTCCTCCGAGAAAGAGGCCATTCGTCAACGAAACAAGATATTACGAATAGCTGATAAACATGGGTGGGACACGGTTAAGGAGTATGTGGATTCTGATATTGCTGACAATAGCGAGGATGCCGCCAGACTGCGCTCCGCTATTTCAAGAGCCGCCAACAAGAAACGTAAATCTCCTTACGACAGACCCGTTTTCCCTAAAACTTCAGGAGTGTTCGATGGTTTGTCCTCTAGGCAGCTTTTTCTCGGCAGTGCAAAATTCAACTACCGCCAGCAGTTCAACCCTAGATTCATTGCGCCCAGTTCGGCAAATTACAGAAATCCCCTACAAACACAAGTCGCAAACATCGTCTGCCACTACTGTCGACTCCCGGGCCATTTTGCAAGATTCTGCCCGTACACTCAGCAACTCCAGTGCTCAACCCCCCAGGGAACCCAAACAACAGCACTCGTTCCAACATCAACAGAAAACCAGCAATGAAGTTGAGTATGTTAGTCATATATTAGACCATAAATCTGACTTCGATGCAAATTCAGACATTTCAGTTAAAGATCGTTTAAAAAACTCTGTTGAATTTTGGAAGAATGTTATAAAGTCAGACGATTATATTTTAAATGTTATCAAATTTGGCTATAGGATAGAATTTATTATATATCCTGAAGTTGTATGTTTGTCTAACAACAAATCAGCACTGCAGAGCGCCCCTTTTGTTGAAAAGGCCATCTTAGAATTGCTGAGAAAAGAGTTAGTCATTGAATGCTTTGAACCGCCCCATTGTGTAAACCCACTGACCGTTTCAGCTCCATTGAATAAAAAGCCAAGGTTGATTCTTGATCTTAGACACGTCAATGCATGCGTTTTAAAGAGAAAATTCAAATTCGAGGGGTCTTCAGAGGGTCTTAATTTTGCCGAAAAAGGTTTATTTATGATCAAATTTGATTTAACAAGCGGATATCATCATTTAAACATCCATCCAGATTTTTACAAATATTTAGGTTTTTCCTGGAATTTCAATGGTTCAAAGCGTTATTTCGCATTCACAGTCCTACCTTTCGGTCTCAGCAGTGCTGGTTATATTTTTACTAAAGTATTAAGACCATTAGTATTGTATTGGAGAGCAAAAGCATACAGAGTTATAATGTATTTAGACGATGGCTGGGTTTGCGATTCCAAACAAAATTGTAGTTTAATGTCACAGAATATTCAAAAAGATTTATTGCATGCTGGTTTTCTTGTTAAAGCTGACATGAATTCTTAAAAACGCAACATTTTCATCTATGTACGACTTGTTTCATACCAACTATAGCCGTATTCCGCCATATTTCTTTCAGATACATTGTCTCAATGTAACGATATATACCCAAATGCGGTCGTTACACTTGAATGATTTTTTGGCTTGGGTATCGACTTGTGCACATCTCCGATGGTAAAGCATATGAGAACACATGGGGTGATCAAGACATTTCAAAACCACAACAAACAACATAATAATCATATTTCCGAATAATTATTGATTTGAATCAAAAGGAAAAAAATGCAAGTTTGGATGAGAAATTTAGATGCATGAGTACGTATTTTACAGTGCGCCAATTTATGCAGAATAAACTTGAAAGAAAAAGCAGTAAAATCTGCAAACACATTTTGAAATTATATCAATTGAATGGAACAAAACAACCTACGTCTTTGATTTGCAGGTCATAAAGATGCAATTGATGCATATCGAGAAAACGCCTCGAACGCTGTAAACGTACCCATACCTGGAAATAAGGTTACTGCATCGGTTCGAAAATGTGCACAAGTCAAGTGATATACACCCTGAATTCCATTTATTGAAATATGCATCACAAAAAAGAAATAAACTCCATAAAAGCTCAATAGTAAACACACTGTCACTACTCTGTACAGACTAGCACGTCGATACACTTAGTCCTTGCTTATCACATTTTGGTCTGGGATATTATCACACTTGGAAAGAGACGTTTTTTGGAATTTGCGCGGCTGAAAGGGGGTGGGGGGGTTAAAGTATTATAACTGCTGTTCATAAGCTTTAATTGTCTATCTACAAGTAGTTCTAATATACATTCTATACAAAGTCATGTACATAGTCTGCAGTTGGTTTGCGTCGCAAAATTCATTTGTCAACTATAACTGATTATTTTAGAACTAACCTCAAATCTAAACCAAGTAATTTGAGGTACGGTAATTATTTACTTCAAATCTTAAAAGCAATTAACCAGAATACAATTTTTATGTGTACATCTATACGTTCTTTAACACACACAACGGGGGGGGGGGGGGGGCATGCAAAAATAATTGACATGACTGTTATTTAAATATTCTTGGAAGAGAGACATTTCTGCCGAATTCAATTTTGAGATTTTTTTTAAAATATGAGGAATGTAACTGTTTTATGTTGTTACAGAGAGTCTTTCGAGATTTCAGTATCCCTGCCTGATAGTCTAGCTATTTTTTTTTGTACAAAAATAATTTCTTTAGGAGTATTTGAGAGATAATTTTAAGAGCTAGGGTAGGGATAGTTGACACTGGTTGAATACGGATAATTTTTATTAACTCTTTTGTATATTGAACTCTCTCTCTCTTTCTCCCTCTCCTATCCGTGAGGGCAATAATAAGTATAAGGTCCTACGGACCTTGTGCTGTACCATTTATTAAGCCTAAGAACTGATCAAGGATTTTTCTCAGGAGGGATGTCGAAACTTCATAAATTGAATAATAATTTTAATTTGGACAAGAAATTAACCCACACGCCCAAACTGAAATAGAAACTAGAGGTATTGTGAGCAATGAGCTCACCAAATGATACCCCGCCTCTTATATGGTTATAATGGCAAAGTCCATATTTTGCTGTTGTCGCTAAACCCAAAATATGTGTCGAATCAAAAAGCAGGCACGTAGCATCGTATTTGAAAGTGGTGGCCAGGCAGAGAATTTCTTTTCATTACCAGAAAAAGTTGACAAGCCAAAAAAAAAAAAACAAAAAAAAAAAAACACCTTCAATTAACATTTCCTATAGTATAAGTTAGGTCGCGGAAAAAAGTGGGGGGCAACCCCCCCTCCCCCGTTGCTACACCCCTGAAAAGTAAAATAGGAGTTGCACAATGGTAATATGTAATAAACCTAAGATTCTGTGAAAGTTTCATAAAAATTCACCAAGTGGTACAAGATGATTTGCGGATAAGAGATTGGTACCCCAAAGCGTAAGAGACAGACGCACGGACAGACGGACGAACATAACGATTACTATATACCCTCCCACTTTTCAAGCGGGGGATATAATAAACGTGAAATATACATCACAGGAATGGGAACATTGGGAACTTTCTGAAATACCTTCTCAAACGTACGTGTCGAACCTGGACCTGGACAACATGCAGACAAGAGAATTTTTAAAAAGCTAATTGTAGGTAGAATGTGGAATTCTCACGGGGAGTTTGCTCTCTCTTCCTATAAACTTTTTCTAATAATCATCAATTATTTATGTCTAAAGATTTAATTCACATTAAATTCTATTTTCATTATCATTGCACCACAGAATCAAACTCGTTTATTATACCCCTCGCAATAAGTGCGTGAGGTGTAATGTTTTTGACCCGTTAGTAAATTTTTTTTTTTTTTTTTTTGGTCAGCGCAACTTCTCATAAACCACTGCATAGATTTTTGTCGAACTTTGCAGATATTTATAGGAGACAATGTGTGTGTACATTTGCACATCACCAGGAAATTACGAATTCTTTATTTTTTCGGGAATTTCCCCACTTTTACATTTAGATTTTGGCCATATCTTGAATATAGAGATGAGCAGTTTGTCATCGCAATTCTTCATAAACCGCTGCACACAATTTCGTCAAACTTTGCAGATATTTAGGGCACAATGTGTATAGATGAGCATATTACATGGAAATTACGACTCCTTTATTTTTTTCTGGGAATTTCAGCACTTCGACTTTTGGGGGAGCGTGGGGTATGTGAACTTGCTCATTTTTTTTCTTTCATTGAGCATAAAATTATAAATAACTTTAAATCAAATTATATTAGGTCTAATGAAGCCTATACACAGTATTTATTTGATAATAATTAATTTGTTTCAGACGTTTTTCTTAAATTATTTTTATGAGAGTGTTAATATGCATGTTTTATTCCCCCCCCCCCATTTACAGGAAAATATCTTCAAAAGGTGAATGATTCGTATTAATGCATGCTTTATTATAAATTTAATGAAGTTAAACCATGTAATCATAAATTTTATTTACTACATTTACAAACAAGAGTAATGTTTATTTTTGAAAAAAAAAAAATTCAATCAACCCCACTGAGCTTTCAACCTTTGATATTTTCCCTGACCAAATAAAATGATCGGCATGGGCCACGTGTGTCCGAGCATTTTTTACTATTGAGTTAGCAATGGATTACATGACTTCTGAGATGCATTTTTCAATAAAAGTAAAATAGGATAATTCTTTCGACATGTGCACATCCCTGTAACGATAGCAGTATTCAGGTAAAATGTTTTATCACTGCGTTTGACGCGTTTTCTCGACCTGCATGGATTTTTGCTGTACATAAATGTATTATGTGTTAGTGTACTTTTTATATTGCAGCAAATGCATTCAAAAATAATTTAATTCTCGGTATAGTTCTATTTTTTGTTGAATTTTTACTTTTCAAACATGTATTGGTCAGTTTATGGACTTCTAAAAACTATGCTATCGGAGATGTGTACATGTCGACAGCCAGACTGGAAAATCACTCAAGTGAAACAGTTCTACAGGGCTATATATAGCAGGTACAGGTGGCCAAAAATCTTCGATTAAATATGGCGGAATCGAACAAATATGTCGGACAAAGGCGTACAGGAATGTAGTAAGTCGTACAAAGATGAAAACTGATGCCTTTTTAAGAGTTCATGTCAGCTTTAATGAAGCTAAGAGCGTTTGGAACCCAGTGCAAAAGTTAGAGTGGCTCGGTTTTGAGTGGAATTTAGAAGTCGGTTTTATTGGTATCCCTCGATATAAATTAGAGAGTTTGTGTAGCAAGATAAATAAACTTAAAGAAAAACAAAATATTTCTGCTAGAGATCTCGCTTCAGTAGTAGGCAGCATTATTTCTTTTAAGTTTGCACTTGGGCCTGTCTGTCAAATAACAACGAGACAATTGTCAATGCTTATTGCTAACGCATCATGTTGGGATGAAAATATTAATATTTCACTTCCTGCCTGGTGTGAGCTAGAGTTTTGGTTAAAAAATAGCCTATCTATTCCCGCCAGGGTTATTTCCCCATGGTATCGCACACCGGAACGCATTGTTTTTACTGATGCTAGCAATTTTGCAGGCGGTGGTGTTGTTAGATTCGACTAAGAAAGTTTTTCATGTTATGTGGGACGAATCAGAAAGAGTTCAAAGTTCAACTTTTAGAGAACTTAAGACAGTTGAAGTGTTTGTGAAAATTTTTGGTGGTGTTTTAGAAAATAAATTTGTAAAACTATACTCAGACAATCAAAACGTTGTTAGAATTTCGCAGATCGGCAGTATGAATTCGGATTTACAATCTCTTGCTTTTTCTATATATACAAATTGTTTGACAAGAAATATAGATTTTTCTGTAGCTTGGGTTCCACGAGATCAAAACGTAGAAGCAGATTTTGTTAGCAAAGTTTTCGATTTTGACGATTGGGGTATAAGCAATCATATTTTTGTATTTTTCAATAAGGTTTGGGGACCTTACACTTGTGATATTTTTGCGAGTTGCAATAATTACAAAGTGAAAAAATTTTATTCTTTGTTTTGGACCCCTGGAACAAGCGGAGTCGACGCATTTGCGTTCGACTGGTCACAAGATTTGAACTGGATTGTTCCTCCCATTTTTTTGATAGGGAGGTCAATAAAGCATTTATTAAATTGTAGGGCTAAGGGTACCTTAATTGTTCCGAAATGGAAATCAGCAGCTTTTTGGCCTTCTTTGATCGACAAAAACGGAAAATTCTTGTGGTTTGTTAAAGATATAATAGAGTATGAAAAACCGAGGAATTTTTTCATTTCGGGATCTGATAAAAATAGCGTATTTGCTACTCACAAATTTATCAGTAATGTTATAGCATTGAGATTGGATGCTTCGTAATTAAGTCACTGTAACATTATATGTATATGTTCATTAGCATGCTTTGATTGTGAACTATGGACAGATGAGTACACAAAGGTTGACTGCTAACCAGTGTACAATATGCATGCATATTGAAATGAAATGATTGGATGACTGCTATCCAATAAGGAGGACTGTTCTCCTAGATATGACGTATTAACATTGAATTATTTCAATACTAACATAAGATTATGATTTAATATACTTGTACTGAAATTCATATAATTTGATGACTGTTTTCATGGAGGACTGCTCTCCTATATTGAATTTGATGATAAAGTTGCTTGTAAATATGTGTGATATAATATCGTGGCTATTATTGGTTACTGTGCAAATTTGGTTTGAATTTTAATGTGCTTTATTGTTATATATTTCAGACTTTGACGAATTATCAAGGCCAATGGATAAATATTGACAAGTTTAAAGACGATCTTCATTTTAGCGATATAGTGGAGTCTTTGCCGCATATCGTGAGAAATGCAAAAGCTCAGTCAACGAACAAGAAGTACGACATATATTTCTCTAAATTCAGAGATTGGTGTTCGAAGCATTCATTTACGCATCTTCCTGCATCAGTGTCTACTGTCGCTCTTTTTATGGGAGGTTTGGTGCAACAGAGGGTATCAACGTCGGTTCTGGAAGCATATTTCTACAGTATAAGTTGGACTCATGAATTTTCTTCAAATTTGAATCCATGCGAGGACAAGTTCCTGAAACTAGTGCTTGAAGGTGGAAGGCGCATGTTATCAAAACCTATCAGCAAAAAAGAACCAATCACTACAGACATATTACGTAAATTGATGGATTTTTCTTCCAAGGATCCTTCTAATGTGCTGAAATTAAGATCCTTTGTTATGTGTTTATTGGGATTTTCTGGTTTCTTTAGATTCAGTGAATTATCAAATATTCGATTATGTGATATCAAATGGGAAAGTGCTCACATCGAAATTAATATTCCCAGAAGCAAAACGGATATCTACAGGAGAGGAAATTCGGTGATCATCGCAAAAACTGGAAACGATTTGTGCCCCGTGTTTTGGTTAAACAAATACATCGACATGTTAGAGATGGACAAGTCTTCCAATGATTACATGTTTACAGCTGTAAATTTTGTAAAGTCCCTCAATAAATACAAAGCTTCAAATAAATCCAAACCTCTGTCATATACAAGAGCTAGGGAAATATTGTTGTCTTCTTTAAATGAAATTGGCCTTGACAGTTCTAAATATGCTTTACACAGTTTACGTAGCGGCGGAGTTACAGCCGCTGCTAATAATAATGTGTCTGATCGATTGCTTAAAATACATGGTCGGTGGGTCACGGATAAAGCCAAAGATGGTTATATAAAAGACAATCTGGAACATAAAATTCTCGTTTCAATGAATCTTGGTTTATAAAATTTTCATTGCAACTACTGTCCTTTGTTTAATGCGATTTGTAACGAACGCAACAATCCTACAGTATATTCTTTTTCTTTGTTTTTCAATAAATTAGTCAAGAAAATATTTATTTGCGGAGGAGTGAAACGAGGGAGAAAATAAATTTATTTCTTTACGTTTTTACTTCGGTATTCTCCGTGTAACTTCGTATCTAAAGAAACTGGTTTTTCATGCACGAGCGATTTAGCGCTCACTATAAATACTTTTACCGGGGAATGTTCGATTAATGCGACGTTCGTTACAAAGAATCGCAGGTTGTAGTAAGTCTTTGGCTTTCCCTGCCCTCCCAGCCCTTGCATTGTTTATTTTGTAAAATTTTTTGAGTTTGATTTGTATGTTTTGGAATAAAAATGCGATTTGTAACGAACGCAACAATCCTACAGTATATTCTTTTTCTTTGTTTTTCAATAAATTAGTCAAGAAAATATTTATTTGCGGAGGAGTGAAACGAGGGAGAAAATAAGTAGCTATGAAACAAGTGATAAGGGGAATAATTCTTGTAATTTTTCCTGGATGTTTAATTGAATATACACTGTAGAATAGATTAAATTTTTTCAGGTTTTGTGAGTGTTTTAAAGGACAGGAAAAGGAATACCAGAATATCTAAGATAAGTTTACTAGAACTGAAGGAGTCAGCAGCTATAGGAGCTGCCAGTTTGGGGGCCAAGTCAATCAAACTTAGTCTGCCTATCAACTATCAAAACAATGCCTCTCTCTATTTCCAGGCAGAATTTTGAATGACATGACATATTTCAGGCAAAATGATGGTAAAATTCATAGGTTGCATTTTGATGTCTTTTTTTATAGCCAGGGAATATTTCTTTAAATTTCTTTTAAGAAAAGGTCTAATTTAAACAATAAAATGCTTTCGTTGATTGTTAGATGTGAATTAATGTTGCAGCTTTTGTAGAAAAAAAAGCATAACCCACTTAAGTGCAAATTTAATATTATATGCTTGTATAATGTGAAATTTCATATTTATTGTTAAGTCACACATAATACCAATCAAGAACCCCAAAAGACATTTCAACATATGGTATACATGTACACTCAGTCTGATAAATATAGGTTATTGTGATGATTTATTGTATGATTTTTTTATGAAATGATTTTTATAAATATGCAATATTGTATGATCCTCTGTAATTTACTTATAATCCATACGATGTATTGACACATAAGGGTTGACTTCTATATAATAAGCAGATGCCTTTATGATGTATTATTATACATATACATTGTAGAACTAGTTTTTAAGTTCAAATTATGCAGCATTTACTAGTCTATATTGCAAGTAATGTACTTTTGTAGTTTAATTATTTGTTTTACCATGTATGAATACATTCCAGTGTTGTTCATTGCTTTGTTACTGAAATGAAACATGATGTCAAAGTAAAACCATTTGCATTTGGAAAAAAAGGATTTTAAATACTTTTAAAAATACATGTATGATTGATAAAATAATTTAAACATATTAAGGAGTCATTAATTATTCTTTTAATGTATATGGGGTTGTTCCTCACATATCAATTTCTGCAGGTATGTGTACATATTTTCATAATAGACTTACAGTTAACAGTCTATGTAGTATTTATACATACCAATATATGATATGGGACCAAACAGAGCTGAAAATGAGCATGAATACAAATTTAAATATATAGATTACAAAAATTTATTGTACATACATGTAAAAGCTTCATTAACTTTACAATTTTAGTTAATCTTTTGAAGGATCCATTGTTTGAGTTGTTTATGAACAGTGAAAATGTATTTATAATGCAAATATTGTGGTTGGAATTTAAATTTTGTTTTTTTTTTTGGTTAGTTTAAGATGTGCCCCATGTACCAATTTTGGTTTCGGTGAATAATTGAACTTTGAAATAAAAAAGAAATCAGTCCATACAGGCATTAAATTTGACTAATACCAAACAATTTAATTAGAAAAATGCATCTTCAAATGGAACCTTTAATTGTACCCCCCCCTCCCACTTCATCCCAATGGTTCTAATAAACAGACGAGTTTTGATGTCCTAAAAATCGTAGCCCATGAGGAATAATAGTAAAAAACAAAGACAAAAGTAAACGAAATCAATTCATTAATAATTAAAATATATTTATCACAGTTCTCATCGTGCTAATATGTTATTAAATATTAAGAAATTGGTACTAGTATTATAAATTCATATACTTAACCGACTGAAAAAAAATCGACAGTTTCAAATAACGGAATAATCTTGTGGATTTGGTATTGACGTCTGGTAAATTGAATTCAAAACAAATTCATTCTGGTCACCTGAGCAAGGCAATCGCTGATACTGAAAAAAAAAATGAGAGGACATACAGTTTAATTTGTTGCGTTTTCCAATTTCATGATCATCATTATTACAGCTGTATCATCACATAATTCATCATCCTTAACGTGGTTCCATCATCATCAACATTGAAGTTACTCTTGCCTCTATCTTCGGAAAGTTCTGCTCACAAATTTTCAAAACCTTTTCAGAAGTCCAGGTCTTTTCTCCACGTTATCATCGTTCCGTTTCTTATTCCAGGCAAAAATACCAAAGATGCTACTTTCATTGGGACAGCTCACAGGGGCCTGTAACATACTGTATTTGATTTTACGTAATCACTATATGTATACAAAAAGATTTTGTATATATATAATTATAGTGATTACGTAAAATCAAAAACAGTATGTTACAGGCCCCTTTGGGACAGCTAGTTCTAGTGTTTCTTCCCTCCACGTTAAAAGTACATATTTACAATATCTAACTCCCAAAGTTAGGTAAAGGACCCTGCCTTTCAAAGCTTCTGTAACGCTTCGGAACGCCTGTCTTGTGTTGAGAACAAAAACTCCGATGTAAAGTTTTATAATTTTATTCAGTAATTCATAAACGGCGAAAATAAATAACAGTTTGAAATTCACAAGTCTCAACCCTCGGGACAAAAGACAAAATCAGTACAACTACTGATATATCCTAGTGTACCCATAAATCGTCCCCTTACGACATTTGACGTCATAGTAACAACGAGCGCGTGCAAATTGATTAAAAAACTTCAGTGCTAGTTATAGAATGGAATTGCTGATTAAATGTTAAAAATTATTTTTTCTTACCACTATTCACAAAATTTTTAGAACTCTTCTACAAAGACGTTGCGCACGGTATTGATACTATAATATCTTACTCTTTATATCGCAAAGAAATTGGCGGTTTCGCGATGTCATATTTACTTTAAATTAAAAATAAAATCATTTATGTTATCTAATGTAATAAATAATTCTTAAAATTTTCTTTTAAATAATTTAAAAATATTTTAACTATGATGAGGCGTTACTCAGTATTGGTCATTTACGGCGAAATTCCCGTGTCCGACGTACGTTACATCAATTATTGTTCGCGCAACTAAAAGGTATGGGAAAAGGCACTTACAATTCTCTGAATGAAATGAAATTTAGGGGATAAAATAAAATACATTCATTCTTCAAGATATTTTTGAGTTTTTAACATCATTTTATCAATTTCATGAATTTTGACTGGATCTACAGTGCGTAACTAAAATGTCTAACAGTAAAAAATCGTTTCCTTACACCGACATTTGCCGAAATGGAGATGTGTACCTGACATAAATCCCAGACAAATATTAATTTTGGTGAATAATCTCTTAGTACATGTATTTCTAAGACTAACTGAATTGATATATTTTATATTACTTTTCCAACGTAATAATTAGGAAGGCTTTCTTAAGTGTAGCCATATTGTTATGCACGCACGAGTCACTGTATTGTTACTAAATATGTCTCAGTAACATATCAAAAATATATAAATTAATGTAAGATATATAGCAGTCATGTATGTAGCTTGAAAGAACATTTAATGCTGCATTTACTAATTACACGATCTTTACAGTAATGGTCTACATGAAATAAATGCAAGTATCAATAAAAGTGTAGCCATTTTGTCACAGGTACGAAAAACGTCATTTTACGCAGTGCGTATATGACGTCGGGAGCGTCAAATTATTATCGCCGTGGCTTTTTTCATGCAGATCCGTAGTTCCAGCTCACAGGTACTTGTGAACATGCAGGAACCACCCCCACCCCACCCCCGATATTCAACCCCGAAGCTTGTTGGAGATTTTTTCACGAATTAAATTTATTACACTTAATCATCATGTGTACATGTACCTAAGGAAAAAATTATGAAAACCCAAAATGATATCGTTCCACAAAAAATACCCTACTAAACGAAGTATGCATTTTAAGAGCCCCTCCCCCCCCCCCTCTTTCACCAAAAATAGTAAAAATATTTTAGAATTTTCGTGATAAACCAGATTTTCAATGATGGTGAAACGTCCCCATTCCATCCTTTTTTCATCCCCTCAGTATACTTAATTGATACTTATTTTTTTATTCAAAATGACACCAGTTCCATTGAAACGTAGGAAGTATAAAAATATTTAACTCTCATTTTTTCTCTATACACCAAGGCGCATGCGGACGCTATATAGAAATAAAAGACTTGTAATGACCTAACTGAAAAATAATTGAAGGAGGTTGAAAGGGATTACTACTCATATATTTTCTCTTAATAAGACAGACAAGTGAGAAAAATAAAAAGAGGAATATTCACTGAGTGCCTTTGACATTTCAGTAATTAAAATTTTACAATTTATTTATAAGATTTGTTAATAAACATCTAATCATTTCAAAATAGAAAGTTCAAACATTGAACATTATGTGCCCTTTCATCGTATTTTAATACTTTTGAAAAATAAAATTCATATATAAAGATGCATTTATAAGGTTCAAAATGTTACAACAACATTATGACTTTTTAACGTTATTTTTACGTAACGTCAATGTGTACCAACACCGTGTGCAACATCAATTTAATCAAACTTTTACACTTAAAAATATCACCCATACCCTATTTTCGTCCTTCAGATATAAAACGGCCGCAGATGATTTTTCTATTTGTTTTCCCGTGATTTGTGATTAAAAAAACGGTTGGAAAATCCTTTAATTAAAAATTGTAAATTTTAATTTTTTATTTATCAATTTAAGAACATTGAATTGCTTTCGCTGTTACCGACTCCGTTTTCTTTAACGAAATAAAAAAAACACGAACGTGCTTTCAGATTAACATTGTCAACGATGTCATGTATGCCCATCAAATTACCTGATATGCAAATTATACAATGTTTTATTTTAGATTTTCCAAAATTCATTGACCTTGCTTGCAAAAACCGATAGAAAATCAAAATATTTGAACAGTGCAATTCTGGCACAATCTGAAAAAAAAACAATAGGAATACTATAATTCAATGCGTAGACTTGAATTGATCACCTAATTATTAAAATAATGTGTGAAATATTCACGTTACAGGAAAAAAAAATTATCATCTACTAGCTCTGCAGTAGATGAAAAATAAAAGAGTTCGCAGAAAAGATCTTGTTTTACTTGATTATATAGTGAAGTTCGACCCAGTAGACGCCCGGATTAGTTATGCTTCAATGCACGTGACGTAGCACCTGTCAAACTGGTAAAAATTGTGACAAAAATACACTTTTTTTGGTTGGCTCAATAAAACGACTGTTCGGACTGTTCAATAAAATGAATTCTTGGTTTGTAGAAATAAAATATTTTCTTCTTGATTACTTGATCACTTATAAATTAAACCGACTTTTTTGCAAGCAAGGGGGAGGGGGGGGGGGGGGTGATGAAGACTGGCGGCTGGGCAAGGTCAATAGTTCATCTATTCAAACAATGTGATCATCAATGCTTGGTCATGTTGTAAGATTGATTATTTTAAAGGAGGTGGTATAATAAATTCTTATATATGGGAAATATTTTTGATATAATATATTTGGTTTTATTTATTCGCCGGATCAATAACATATTCCTGTATAGAAAAAATCTCGATTATATAAAACAGAGTAAAAACAAAACACACACACACGAAAAGGGAAAA